TTTTCAGAGTTCATTGGTAGTTCCATTTACAGAGCTAGGGTGCACTGGATGAAGGTGAAACCAGAGAGAGATGATTTTACTCTCAGATACAAAATCAACTACATAAATTGGCAGAGGAGGACAGTGCAAAAGAAAAGGGTAGAACCCCCTGCTCAACAGTTCTGAGAATTTCAAGACAGTGATAGCAGAGCAAGGGGAGGACTTCAGTCATGGGACCCTGTGTGACTGCAGAAGTCACTTACCTACAAAGCCAGCCCTGCTTGGACATGTTGGGTTGGAGGTACCAGTCATCCCATGGAGACTGAGGCAAACTAAAGCCCACCAGAGGGACAGTCCTGGAGCTGAGAGAATCCATTTGTGTCCCACACTCAGGAGCCCACTAGTCATCCTAGGTAGTCATGCAGACAGAGCAGAAACAGCTATGGTCCTCTGGGTAGCCAGGGCTCTGACACCTGGTGTCCTGGTCCCTGATAAAGCCAAATTTCCCATCTGAGAAGTCACCAAACACAGTGTCCATCCCCTGAGGAAAATCCAAATTGCCTGATTTGGCGCCACAGTTGCACAAAGGGGAATTCCACGTTGGCTGCCCGAAGATCAGCCCTTCCGCTGATGTGTGGTTTGCAGTGTCTGCCGGCCATGATCCTCGGAAGAGCGTTCAATCCAGTTTGCGTAACCCTTGCTCCATCCGACCTAAGGACCAGCCCCAGCCCAGGCTCCTCCTAAACTTCTGGCCCATCAGGCCTTTGTTCTGAAGTACCCCAGACACTGTCAAAGCCAATGTCAGGACAGCCCAGAGGAATACAGTGCCCACAAACCCCTGTCCCCTTACACCTCAAGCCGGCCACACTCTGGATGTGTGATGCACGTGGGGTCTATTGCAGCACAGCCTCCAAGCAAGCCTCTGTCCAAGGAACTGAGTAGGGTTATTCAAGGGAATACTAGAAATTTCAAGCTGTTGAAGCTATTTTACACCAAATGTCCTGGATAAGAAGAAATGAAACTCCTGTTATCAGCCTTAAAAAAATAACTACTAATGACAAGAAGGAGTCAAGCTCCAAGGGGCTTCTTCATCAGGACAGTTGTCTCCCATCCCCAAGATGGGCACAATCTCACCTTCTCTGCCTGCATCATCAACCTGCCTGCTCTCTGCCGGCTGACCCTATTGCCCAACAAGCTGTCTAAACCCAGAGTCCAGCAAGCCCAGATCCCTGAACCTTCCCTCTGCAGCTCCACAGCCACCCTCATAGGGCTCCTAGCCTGCTCTCCACTCTTGGGTTCCAGCTGCAGGATTGCAGTAAGGCACAAAGTAACTACACCAAGAAGGCTGCCATTTTGCTTAGCATGAGAGTAGCTGGGAGGCAGATTCCTTATAAACAGTATGAACTGTAGAGAATACTCCTCGCTGTAACCCAACTGGCTCCCCTTACCTTGTTCTCCAAAATCTATTTGCATAAATGTACACACACACACACACACACACACGCACGCACGCACACGCACACCAGCAGTTCTTGTCTGCCTGGACTCCTCTGCAGCTAAAGTGAAATTTACGGGTGGAGCTTCCTAAAAAATTATTAGGGTCTGCTGGATTGGTGTGCCTTCAGACTTTTGGACTTTACCATCCCCTGTCTCTCCTATCTCCTTGCAACAAAGGCTAGGAAAACAGAAATGAAAAAAAAAAAAAAAACGGGTCCTGGATGGCATCTGAATGCCTACTTTGGGCTTCTTGATGAGTGAGACAGAAAACAAAATAAAATCCCTTTTTTTAAAAGCCATGCTTAGTCAGGTTTTCCCTTATCTGTAGCTAAATACAGAAATGAGAGAAGAGTTTGGATCAGGGATGGAAGAAGAGAGATATTCCCTGTCCCACAACCTTCTGACTTCCCAGTGTGTCCCTGTCATGGAAAAAAAATTCATTTAAAATCAGTGTAATAGCCATTGATTAGATGCCTGCTATGCATCTGGGCTTGAGGGCAAACTGGACTCAGGCCTTTTGACCCCCAGAAGCTCACAGTCTGAAAGAAGCATTTGTATCCTTGAAATTCACAGGACTCCACTGTGCCCAGGCTGACACTCTAACTATCCATAAGTGCCTGCCTTCTCACTTCCTTCCCTGCATGGGCTCTCGACGTGTACCAAAATCCAAACCCAAATCTCACATGTGAGTGTTGGCATTTATGTCTCAAACGTGACCTATGGGTTTGGAACTTTTCCCCGTGGACCCCAGTGACTTTTCAGATGAACAGGTCTTCAAAAACTTGAGAAACTGGAGCCCTATTTGTTGCTCTTGTTGCTTTGTCAACATAAGGGCACAGGGTCTTTTTTTTTTTTTTTTTTGAGACGGAGTTTCGCTCTTGTTACTGAGGCTGGAGTGCAATGGCGCAATCTCGGCTCACGGCAACCTCCGCCTCCTGGGTTCAGGCAATTCCCCTGCCTCAGCCTCCTGAGTAGCTGGGATTACAGGCACGTGCCACCATGCCCAGCTAATTTTTTGTAGCTTTAGTAGAGACGGGGTTTCACCGTGTTGACCAGGATGGTCTCGATCTCTTGACCTCGTGATCCACCCGCCTCGGCCTCCCAAAGTGCTGGGATTACAGGCTTGAGCCACCGCGCCCGGCTCAGGGTCTTTACTCAAATGTTCATATCTATCTCTTGACAGCAATACTATGAGATATCGATGGAGAAGCTGCTATCTCCATTTGTGAAATGAGGACTTGCATCAAGGAACTTGCCTATGGTTCTCTCTAACCACTTAAATTCTGAAACTGTGAAATGAGAGTAGACAGTAATTTCAAATCAATGGGGAAAGAATCAACTCTTCAGCAAATGGCTTGAGATAAATGGCTACATATTTCAAAACAAAGAAAGAAGTCAGACCCTAACCTCAACCCTGTTTAATAGCTTATAGATGGCTTTTACACACCTCCCTTCTCCCTGTCATTTTGTGTGTGTGTGTGCGTGTGTGTGTATTTACACACACATCTCAAGTAATAAGAAAATTGAAGGGAGGCTGCCTGCCTCCCTGAGTCACTCTCCTTCTCCATCTGAGTGCCCACCTGTGCCCAGACCACCTCCTTGGCCTCGCACTTTCCAGGCTGACAAGGCACTCTTCTTTGCCCATCCCTGACCTTACATGGGCCAGGCTCATTGCTAGGTACCAAGTACGCAAAGATTAATAAAACGATGTCCTGCTTTAGGGAGCTCAGAGCTGATTGGGCGAGGCATGGTGTGTACATGAATGGCAACCACGTAGAAGTGTGGGTTTCCTAGTGAGGTAAGCACAGGGCATGATGGGAAACAAAAGAAGGAGGGTTTCACAGCCTCACCCAGAGTTCAGACCCCCTGCCCTGCCTGGTGTCTATGCTGAGTCTGCTTCTAGAACACCCAGTTCAGAGAAAAGGTCAGCCCGGCAAGCTAATACAGACACAGTCCAGAAAACCCAGGAGCCAAGAGGAAAGGAGAGAGATGGAAGCCAGGGAAACCCAGCTCCGAGTCCCTTTCTCTCTGCTTCCTGGCAGCAGAAGTCAGACAGAACTCTTAAGCCAGTGTAAGTCTGGCGGGAGCAGTAAGTCCTGAGTTAGCTCCATACTAGTTTCTAGAAGGCTCTTTCTCACTTCCTGATTCTTAGGTTTCTACACTGATACTCCCTAAAGAGTTGGGAGGAGAGGCCACAGCCCCCTGACCCTGATCCACAGGTCACCACAGCAGGGACATCCACAAAGTGGGCCTGGGCCCTCTCATCCCTCCCTCCCACCCACTCCATGCTGGCTGGGCCCCCAGGGGTCTGCACCCCTTGCAGTGAGTGACCTTCTCCAGTGGAGCAGGCTCAGAACCTGCTGCCATTGGAGATGTCCCACTGGTGATGCTGGAAGGTGAGGAACTAGCAGAACACTGGGAACGCCCTCCACTGGGTCTGTGGCTACTTAAGCTCAATGTTCCCAGGCAGGCAGGAGGACAGGTGCTGTTGCCCTGCTGGGACAGATGAAAAACAGACACAGGGATGATGAGTGACTTGCCCTGGGTGTAGAGTGACAGGGCCAGGGCAGAGCCCAGGCCTCCTGCACCTAGGCCAGTGCTCCTCCCAGTTACTGCCTAAACTGGAATAGCAGACAAAGCCCCTGTGAAAGGGGAAGGTGAAGGCACAATCAAAGGATCCCCAGAGCCTTTCCAGATATCTGAAGATGTCCTGATGTCACTGCCCTGATCCTTCCCTGGGTAGAGCAACACTCCTCGCTGCAACACAACTGGCTCCCCTTACCTTGTACACACACACACACACACACACACACACACTAATACAAGACCACACTACTAAGGCTACTCTGGGAAGGGGAAACAGGGATGGGTAAGAGGAAAGTAAGGGACTCTCTATCCAGCCTCCATGGAACCCTGACTTCTTTTCCTTGTTATTTCTACTTCTTCCTCCCCATCTTTTAAACTTTAGGCTCCAGCCACAGAAGCTTCCAACTACAAGAAACCCTAAGGCCTATTTTAATCCAAGTTTTCATTCTGTGTGCTGGAGATGGCATAGAATAGGGTGAGGGAACCAAATTCTCAGTTGGCACTGGTGTACCCTTGTACAGGTGACTTCACATCTCTGTGCCTCAGTTTGCTCACTATAAAGTAGAGATGGTGGTAGGGATCATGGTGCGCACTACCTGACTAGCCCATAGCAATCATTCAGCAAGTGCAGACTCCTCTTACCCACTTCCCTCAAGCACAGGTGGAGAGGGGGACAGCTGGGACAGCTGAGGAGGTGGAAACATGCACCTGAGAAGCCAGGTGAAATCAGGGGTAAAGGTGCCTGGAGCACATACTGTGACTCTGCCTGTCCTGTAGGAAGCCAGTCTCTGGGATGTAAAATGGAAGAGGTGCTGGGGAGCTTTGAGGATATTTAGCCCAGCTCCTCATTTTTACTTGGGGAAACTAAGCCCCAGAGACCTAAGGTGACTGCCCAAGTTAGCAAGGAGAAGTGTTGGGTACTCACTCCAGGTTGTGGGGGATGCAATTATTTCTCAATCCCATTGTATTCTGGAATGGCCAAGTTGTCCACGTCACTGTGACCTAGGAACACGCGAATGGGAACCCACAGCCGTGGGCCTCTGCGCACAGGACAGCTGTTCTCCCCAGGAAATTAACTTTTTCTTAAATTGAGAAGCTAAAACATTATTCTAAAAGAGGTAGCCGATCCTAAATATAGCTCTAATGCAGAAGTTCAACCATCCTTTTTGCTTACTATGCAAAAATTGAAAACTATTAGAGAGGTTGAGAAGGAGGAGCTCTAAGCAGAAAAAGTCCTGTGCCGGGAAACCTGTGACTGCGGCTTTTTATGAATGAAAAGACCTCCCTGAACCCACGATATAAAAGGGGGACAGAGAGGTGAAGGTCTACACACCAGGGGCTTGCTCTTGCAAAACCAAACCACAAGACAGACTCTCAGAAGAGGCATGCACAGCTCAGCTCTGCTCTGTTGCCTGGTCTTCCTGACTGGGGTGAGGGCCAGCCCAGGCCAGGGCACCCAGTCTGAGAACAGCTGCACCCACTTTCCAGGCAGTCTGCCTCACATGCTTCGAGAGCTCCGAGTTGCCTTCGGCAGAGTGAAGACTTTCTTTGTGAGTATGAATCCCCACTGTCCTTTCTGTCTTCCTGGGACTGCCTGAACTAGGCATTCTCCTGGAGCGATAAGAATTCTCCTCCTCCATCCCCTCCACCTCCATTCCCCACACCCATTCCCCCAAACTTAAACTCTTAAGAGAATCCTAGATCAAGCCATGAGTTTAGTGAGTTAAGCTAAGCCCAGATGATGCAGTAAATGTGCAGGAAAACCTGCCTTAAAAGGTAAATGCACTCTTTCCCTTGCTGAGAAACTTCTTATAAGATCCTGCTGATGCTCTATACTTTATCGATTAGGAGAATTAAAGAAGGGTCTGATTGGAGGTGAAGATACTCCCCATGCCCTGTAGCAGGGAAACGTACATTGCCTCTGCTTAGAGCCTTTCCAGGCCTGAAAGACTGGTGGTTTGGGGAAGCACTCTACATAAGGGAAACCTGCATCAGAAGGAGATTCCTATTCCCTAGGATTTTTCCAAGCTGAACGGGATGTCTACAGAAGGGAGAAAGAAAACCAGAGAACAGGATGTGAGAGGGGTCTCAAGGCACCAAGGGGTTAACATAGGTGTCCCTTAAAGCCTAATGTAGCTCTGCAGAAAGAAGACCAAGGCTGAGTCAAGCTTCTGCTTTCGCTTCAAAATCAGCCAGAGTTTTTAAGTAATTTGACTCTGAGGAGGAGGACCTGATTTAAGTGACGGTTCCATCACCGTTGAATCCTCTATTTTTAAAACTCCCTGTTTGATTTTTGGGCCAGAGTCAATTTAATTTTTAAAAAAAGAAAACTCTAAATGAAAGGGCATCAAAAAGACGGCATTTCAGTTATTTCCCCAAACCTCAAGTTCATTCTCCTTTTGTTCTTCATGCAGCAAAAGAAGGATCAGCTGGACAGCATGCTGTTAAAGGAGTCCTTGCTGGAGGACTTTAAGGTGAGAGCAGGGGTAGGGTGCTGGGGGAGTGTGCAGTGTGATTAAGGGAAGGGAGGCTCTGCTTTCTGAGTGCAGGGAGTTGGGTCTGTTTCCTTCACTTTGAAAAGGAGAAGTGGGAAGAGCTTGACTCAGCACAGCCAGCAGTCAGAGGGTTTACAAAGGGCTCAGTCCTTGCAGGGAGGCTTCTGGTGAAGGAGGATCGCTGGAACCAAGCTGTCCTCTCCAGCTAGTTGCAGCATCCCTCTTCCCAGCCACCTCCACCAATCTCTCACTCACCTTTGGCCCCTGACCTTAGGGTTACCTGGGTTGCCAAGCCTTGTCTGAGATGATCCAGTTTTACCTGGAGGAGGTGATGCCCCAAGCTGAGAACCATGACCCAGACGTCAAGGTGCACGTGAACTCCCTGGGGGAAAAGCTGAAGACCTTCAGGCTGAGGCTGCGACGCTGTGTGAGTAGTAGACCAGTTCTTTCCCTTGCAGCTGTCCCCAAAATACAATCTCCTACAGAGCAGCAGAGATACTCACACCCAGAGACACACCAAGGACACAGACTGGCAGAGCTAACTGTAAATGTGGAAAGACTCCTAGAATCAGATTTCTTGCTCATTTCTCTCTAAGCAGGCGTAGGGGGTGGCTGCTAGGCATTTACATGTGAAATTTGCAAATAGCTTTCCTGTTATTTGTGAGTCATTTGTGGGTTATTAACTACTCCCCTCTCTCTTCATGAAAGGAGCCCAGAGCTTCAATCAGGCCTCCACTGCCTCTTCGTAACTAGACCCTGGGCTGGGAGCTAAGACTCTCAAGCAGAGGAAACATCACTCACCTCTTTTAATCTCAACATTTTGAAAGCAAAGCTCTAAGAAGGGCCCAATTGACTGACAGGATTTTCCCTGGCATTTTAGAAGGGCCGGGGGGCTATTCATGACTGGGCTAATGTCTATTAGTAATTCCTCCAGGTAATTTATTTCTCCAACTGAAATGATGCTATCACTACCAATGGTTTCCCTTGTTCTCTCACCAATATTGGAAAATCAGTTGTTGTCTATTTGTAGGACAGCGCTATGTGAAAGGTTTGGTTTAAGTAGCTCCCCTCCTTGGGTGCTTAGAAATAGTCTTCGGTGGCTGTGACTGATGGGGAGGGACAGGATAGAGAGGCAGAAAAGGGCAGGGGATGCTGTAGAGTTCTGGGGAAGGAAAGAATCCCAAGACCTAGGTTGTCGTCCAAGCCTTGCAAACATCTCAGGGTAGGTCCTGGAGAAATACATTTTATCTCCCAGGGCTATGGTTCTTCTCTGACCCTTGGATAATGAGTAAGGGTGAAGCAGGAGTCAGTTCTCTCTGGGAGCTGTGAGATGAGGCATTAGGATAAATCTGGCCCCCTCTTCATGCCACGAGCTTGTCCCCCAAGTGTGGTGGACATGGAGCTGGGAGCCAGGATCACCAATACTTTCTCTTTTCTTCCACAGCATCGATTTCTTCCCTGTGAAAACAAGAGCAAGGCAGTGGCGCAGGTGAAGGATGCCGTTAGTAAGGTGAGCCTGGATGGTGGCAGAGAGGGTCTGCAGGGTGCAGCCCATGCCCACTCCCCAACCCCAAAGCGTGGAAAGTGACAGGGACTCAGTAGGCCCCATCCTTCATTGGAGGGAGTGTGGGAACCTGACAGATGGTATGACCTGCTCAGCCAGTGAGGAGCTACCGCCTTGGTTGTGTTTGTTTTCTGTTAAGTGTCTGGGGGTTTCTAAATGACTGCTCACTGCCTTTGCAGGCTTGTGGGTTGGGCTGGCCAGCCAGCCTATGAACACAGTAAGCTGTGTGCTGGGGAGAGTGACAAAGGAAACAGAAAGTACAGAAAGTAGCTTGTTGGGAATCTAGGCTGAACCCACACGTGCAGGAAGCCGGCACACAAATGTGCACATACAAATACACCTGGGGGTTCAGCCCAGACTCCCCAGAACTCAGAATGAGCAGAAAGCGAGATTCTCACTTGCCTGGAGTTGGTTCAAGCCCACTTTCATTCTGCCCCTCGCACCTCCCAAGGCACCTGAGAATGTCAGCTCCCAAACCAAACGGGGTTTCACACTTCCAGCTGCGCATGAACTTTTTAAATCTGATTTCCCAGAAACCATGTGGCCTATGTCCTCCTTGTGGGCTGGGAACAGACACTGAACAGAGTGCCAACATCAGGGGGTGTGAACCTCTCACAGTAAGCCAGGGCGGCAGGGCAGGGCCTGCTCATTGTGTTGGTGGAAGAGCACAGGCATTTAAAAGGCTCCCTTCTCTGCTTCTCTCACCATCTTGCTTTCAAAGTGCTTCCTCTAATGTCTTTTCATCAAATTCTGCATAATCATCCTGTGAACACATGACCCTTAAAACTATTGAATAGGCACCATTTTGAAGACGGTGCTTTGCAAAGTGAATGCTCCCTTTGCTAGCGAGTAGCTATACTTCAGGCTTGGAGGAGATGAAGCTCAGTGCTCAGCCTTTTCCAAGGCAGCTGGGCCCACCCTCCAGTTTATTTCCCAGCGTGAGGGAGGACAAGCAGCCTCTGCACTCAAGGTCATGGCCATCCGTGAGCATGGAGGAGGGGAGTCTATTTGGTCTCCAGAAGGGATTTTAACTGACTGTTTATCTCCCTACACAGCTCCAAGAGAAAGGCGTCTACAAAGCCATGAGTGAGTTTGACATCTTCATCGACTACATAGAAGCCTACATGACAATGAAGACACAAAACTGAAACAGCAGGGCGGCAACTCCATAGACTCTAGGACATTAATTGGAGGTCTCCAAAATTGGGTCCGGGGTTCTGGGATAGCTGACCTAACCCCTTGGGAAACCTTAATGTACCTCTCTCCTGGAATATTTATTACTTCTGATACCTCAACCCCCATTTCTATTTATTTACTGAGCTTCTCTGTGAACAATTTAGAAAGAAGCCCAATATTATAATTTTTTTTCGATATTTATTATTTTCACCTTTTTTAAAGCTGTTTCCATAGGGTGACACACTATGGTATTCAAGTGTTTTAAGATAAATTGTAAGTTATGTAAGGGAGAGAAAAAAAAACGTTCCTTGGGGAGCCAACAGAAGCTTTCATTCCAAGCCTGACCTCGCTTTCTAGCTGTTGAGCTGTTCCCCTGACCTCCCTCTAATTTCTCTTGTCTCTGGGCCTGGGGTTTCCTAACTACTACAAAGACTCTTAGGAAGAGAAACCAGGGAGTCCTTTGATGATTAATTCACCTTCCAGTGGCTCAGAGGGATTCCCCTAACCTCATTCCCCAACCACTTCATTCTTGAAAGCTGTGGCCAGCTTGTTATTTATAACGACCTAAATTTGGTTCTAGGCCGGGCGTGGTGGCTCACGCCTGTAATCCCAGCACTTTGGGAGGCCGAGGCGGGCAGATCACTTGAGGTCAGGAGTTCCTAACCAACCTGGCCAACATGGTGAAACCCCGTCTGTACTAAAAATACAAAAATAAGCCGGGCGTGGTGGTGCGCACCTGTAATCCCAGCTCTTTGGGAGGCTGAGGCAGGAGAATCACTTGAACCAGGGAGGCGGAGGTTGCAGTGAGCTGAGATCACACCACTGTACTCCAGCCTGGGCAACAGAGTGAGACTCCATCTCAAAATAATAATAATAATAATAACAGTAAATTTGGTTCTAATAGAACTCAGTATTAACGAGAAGTGATTCAATTCCTCTGGGAATGTTACATTGTTTGTCTGTCTTCATAGCAGATTTTCATTTTGAATAAATAAATGTATCTTATTCATATCACGTTCTGGTGTCAGTTGAATCTTGTCTGACTACGATGGTTCCCTCAAAGCTCCCAAGACAAACGAGATGGATGAGTGAATTCTGCATTTCAGAGAAAGGAAGCCAGTTAACCTCTCCGAGGAGACAGGGAAGGCTCCAAACCTGATCAGAGAAAAAGCTATTCTCACTTTAAAGCCAACAGCAGAGACACCGTGGTCTTCCCACAACTCAATCCTTTAAAGATTTGCTCCTAAATCCCGAAAGATCATGCTAATTTTAGGAGATCGTGCTGATTAGGAGATTCTGTGGGTACCAAAATTAGAAAAGTAAACAGGAAAGGTTTTTTGTCTTTTTTTTTTTTTTTTTTTTTTTAAAAGACAGAGTCTCACTCTGTCTCCCAGGCTGGAGTGCAATGGCACCATCTCTGCTCACTGCAACCTCTGCCTCCCAGTTTCAAGCGATTCTCTTGCCTCAGCCTCCCAAGAAGCTGGGACTCTGGGACTACAGGCACGTGGCACCACGCCCAGCTAATTTTTTGTATTTTCAGTAGAGACGGGGTTTCATTATGTTGGCCAGGCTGGTTAGGGACTCCTGACCTCAAGTGATCCGCCCTCTTGAGCCTACCAAAGTGCTGGGATTATAGGTGTGAGCCACCGTGCCCGGCCAGCGGAAGTTTTTAGTATGAATATGAATTTGCCTGGGTTTTCCTGAGGATTAAGATAATAAGCTAACAGGGCTTCTGGCACTAGGAGGTGGTCGCAGTGCATATAGTTGGTTGTTATTGGTCATCACAACTAAAAACTCCTGCCAAAGCCTCTTTGAGCTGAGATTAGTGTCAACAGGGCTGGACCCAACAGAGTTGAAAATAAGCAAATTAGCCCACTTGAGAGGATAGCCGAGGACACAAGCTGCTGCTCTTTCGGTCCCCTCCCTAAGCCACCAGACAAATGTGAGATTGGCTTCTGAACTGCGGTCTGCTGGGAGGGGCATGGTGGCTGGGGAAGCCCTGCTCAAAGCCTCGTGACTTGGAGGAGAGAGAAGGAAAAAATGGGCTGCGTAAACACTGGTCTCCCTCACGCTCTGCCTGGGCAGCCCTCGTCTGGGGAAGGGTGGGAGCTGAAAGGCTGTGGTCAGTTTTTCAGTAAGACCTGACTCACTTCGGTTAAAGTAACCAAAGGAAGGAAGTGGGAAACATCAAAGCTAAAATTCTGAGATGAAAGGGTAGGAGTAAAAATGGAGGTTAGCAGAAGATAAGGAGAGGGAGCCTGAAGCCCTCTACTCTGAGGCTATCCATATTGAACTAGACAAGACATCCAGAGTCTGTGAGAGGAAAATCTTGGGGCCCCAAAATCACTGAGCTAAAGGGAGAAGTCAAGCTGGGAACTGCTCAGGGCAAACCTGCCTCCCCTTCTATTCAAAGTCATCCCTCTGTTCAATGCGATAGATGCATACCTGATAGCCTCCTTTGCAAAAGAATCAGAAACTCAAAAAAATGCAACCATTTGTCTCTCACCTACCTGTGACCTGGAAGCCCCCCTCCCTGTTTTGAGTTGCCCCCATCTTTCTGGACGGAACCAATGTACTTCTTGCATATATTGATTGATGTCTCATGTCTCCCTAAAATGCATAAAACCAAACTGTGCCCCAACCTTGGGCCCATGTCGTCAGAACTTCTTGAGGCCATGTCACAGCCACATGTCCCCAACCTCGGCAAAATAAACTTTCTAAATTAATTGAGACGTGTCTCAAATTTCAGGGTTCACAAGTCCCCTGGCCTGGAAGGCTTAGGCAGTTAGCCTTCCAGGCAATGCATACTGACTTTAGTTTGAGGCTGGTACTTTGAGGGAAGTGGGCATCTGAAACAGAAACTCACCTGAAAAAAGCTCTACAGCTCATAAGATATTAACAATAGCTACAAATTATTACGAACTACAATGTATTAAGCTAATCACTTATTTTAAGCCACTTGGTATGTATGTATGTAGTAATAATGTGGCATTATTACTGTTTTCTCTAGGAGGAAACTGATAGTCATTTTTTTTCTGTTACATTTGTTCTATTGGGATTTAATAATCAAACATTCTGTAGATCATATTTGACAGTCGAAGTTTTGGAACAACCATACTAATCCAGCTCTTTAAATCATGAGTCAATCACAGGTTAACCTGGCAGAAAACACAGGCTCTGCACTTCCAATTTATCATCTGTTTGTGTGTGGAATTCTTCCAGTATCCCTGATACTTATGTTAATGGTAATATGAACATTGACTAAAGTCATTTGCTGGCTACTTTGCTAAGTACTTGATATATATTAGTTCATTAATTATCATGTAAAGCCATGAGGCACTATTAATATCTCCATTTTTTCGTGTAGTAAAAATGAGACCCAGAAAAGCTATATAATTTACCTTTGGTCATCCTGCTGTCGAATGACAGTCCATGGTCTTAATGATTATGCCACACTCCTAAAGTCATTTCCACAGGTAAATTACTGCATCATCCTTCTTTTCTAATATAATTCTGTTTGTATCACGAAAAATTGAGACACAGGTTTTACGGTATGCTCTGTATCCACTTTTGTTTGTCTCAAGATATTTTTAAATTTCTCTTTTAATTTCTTCTTTGACCCACTGGCTGTTTGGGAGCATGAGAAATGTGAATCTGGCTTGGCCTCAAGGATAACATGGAGAATGGAGAACTCAGTATAGGAGAAAATACTTCCCTCTTTGTATTCGTTATCTATTGCTGTCTTCAACATTTAGCTGCTTGAAACAACACACATTTGTTATCTCACAGCTTCCTTCTGTAGCTCAGGAGTCCTGGAGTGACAACTAGGAATTCCATCTCAGGATTTCTACTGAGGCTTTGTCAGGACAGCCAGGGTTGCCGTCACCTGGTGGATTGGGGGCTAGCAGGTGCATGGGTAACATGGCACACTTGCTGTGCTGTTGGCAGGTGGCCTTGGTTTCCCTTCATAGGGCTTCTTGAGTGTCCTCACAACATGGCAGCTGTCCTCCCCAGAGCCAAAGATGCCAGAGACAATAAGGAGGAAGCTGCAGTATCTTTTATGACCTAACTCCAGAAATCTCACACCATTACTTCTGCTATATTCTATTTGTTAAAAGTGAACCAGTAAGTATGGCCCACATTCAAGGGAAAGGGAATTGAAGGGAGGAGTGTCTAAGAATTTGTGCACCTATTTTAAAACAATTACGCCCTTCTAAGAATTTAGAAGAAATAGTTTTGTGCTCCTGAGCTAGTAGGAAAAAGGGGAGGAGCTGGGTGGGCCTCAGTGTGCCTGGATAGGCCATCATCATAAACACTCTCACCTTCAGTCCTCTCTCATAGGCTCAGTCTAATAGATTTACTTCTCTAAGGCTTGGTTTCTCATCTGGAAAACTAGCAAAACGTCTTCCCAGGTGCTATGCCCTGAATGTTTGTGTCTCACCAAAATGCATATTTTAAAGCATTTTCCCCAGTGTGATGGTACTTGAAGGAGAGAACTTTTGGAGGTAATTCGTGTTAGATGAGGTCATAAGGGTGGGATCCTCAGGATGAGATTAGTGCCCTTATGAGAAAGACACTGGAGAGCTTTCTGTCTTCCCCCCACCCCTCCCAAGTGCATTCAAAGAAGAGGTCTCGTGTGCATGCAGTGAGATGACAGCCACCTCCAAGCCAAAAAAAGAGTACTCAGAATGAAACCTGCCTTGCCAGCACCTTGATTTTGGACTTCCCAGCCTCCAGAATAGTGGAAAATAAGTTTCTGTTGTTTAAGCCACCCAGTCTGTGGTATTTTGCTATGGCATCCTGAGCTGACTAATATACCTGATTTGATACAACTGCCAAGTAAAATCTCAGATATGAAGGTACGTATATGTTTTGAACAGGGAGCACAGAGATGAGGTTTTGATGGGATTTTTTTTATAAACAACAAGCCTTTATTCTTTGAGAAAAGCAGCCACCCCATCTCCTCCATGTCTACTCTGTGTCCTTACACCTGAGTTTGGAAAACAGTGGAGAATGAGAATCTCTATTTGTCTGTGATCCTGGCTTTGGAGGTAAGGAAGGTGAAATCAGTGAGAGGAGCCCCTGAAATCTGTGATGACAATGTGGTTACCTATGAAGCCACTGAAGGAAATTAGAGAAGAAGCAAATGAGTTCTTCCACCCTGAGAGTGAAGCACATGGCAGAAGGAAAGGGAAGAGATCAGAGATGAAAAGAAAGAAGAGGCCGGGTGCCATGGCTCACACCTGTAATCCCAGCACTTTGGGAGGCCGAGGTGGGTGAATCACTTGAGGTCAGGAGTTCAAGACCAGCCTGGCCAACATGGTGAAACCCCATCTCTACTAAAAATACAAAAAAATTAGCTGGGTGTGGTGACATGAGCCTGTAGTCCCAGCTACTCAAGAGGCTGAGACAGAGAATCGCTAGAACCTGAGAGGCAGAGGTTGCAGTGAACCAAGATTGTGCCATTGCACTCCAGCCTGGGCAACAAGAGTAAAACTTCATCAAAAAAGAAAGGAAGAAAGGAAGGAAGGAAGGAAAGAGGGAAGGAAGGAGGCAAGCTAGCTCAGTGGCAAAAATTGCCCATTCTGACATGTGTCCCCCTCAAAACACTTGTATGAGTGGTTTTAACAGTGGAATGCAGGAATCAGCTTTAGTCCTGAGGCAATTTAGGGAGAAGCAGACATAGCACTCCAAGGAAATGGGAACTGGATCATAAGAACATAAACAGAATTTAAAATGACAGGAAGATCTTTCAACTTTCCTAAGTGACAGAGCTGGCTACAGAATGAATCAGTCAACTTTGTATCTCTGAGGGGATAGTGGGTTCCAGGTGACATATGAGTTTCATTATTCAATACCTGTTTTAGGCATTAACTCACTTGGTGACTGGAAAGATTTTACTTAACTTGTCTGGAACTCAGTTTCCTCAACAATAAATAAGAAAATAGATCTGAATCGATGGTTTCCCTTGGGGAAAAACATTCACCCTTGAGGCCACTAGAGTGGAGC